TTTATCAAATTTCTTAAAAATTAATTAAATTCTTTTGGAAAATTTTTGAAAATAATTTAATTTCAGAGAAGAATTTTATTATTTATAAAGATACTTAAAATTTTGACCAGAATTTTACTATTTTTGAACACAATTAAATTTCTGCGAAGGATTTCATTTTTCTTAAAAACAGTGGAATTTCTGCAATTGTTTGTAACTTCTCCAAAATTAATTTTTTTTTATTGTTAACTAAAATAATTGTATAAATCCATTATTTTTATTAATTTTTAAAATAGTTTTTTGAGAATTTTCAAATTCATTTGTTTTTAACTAAAATTCATTTTTAAATTAATTTTTATTATAAAATTCTACTAGAATTCAATAATTTAAATACAAAAAATTATTTATTTTAGGTATATTTGGATGTTTCTTAAAATTTAATTCTCATAAAGAATTTTATCAACAAATTCTTAAATAATTGAATTGTTTTGACGAATTTTAATGAAATTTTTATTAATAATTACATTAATCAAGGAATTTGATTAAAATTTTATTAAAAATAATTGAAATTCTGCGAGGAGTTTCACTATTTATGAAAATAATTTTGACAAGAATTTTAAAAAAATTTTGAACAGAATTGAATTTCTGCTAAGAATTTTATTACTTTTGAAAATAATAATTGAATTTTGCAATCATTTGTAATTTCTCTAAAAGTTTCCAAAAATTATATCGTACAATTTACGAACTTTTTTGTCCTTTTTTAATCAAATTACGGACATTTGGATGGATATTTAGGAAAATGTTAAAAATAATACAAAATTACTCAAAAACTGACATTTATTATTACATATCGATTACAATAATCATAACAATAATAAAATAATTATATATTATAAAAATTGAAAATCGATTTACAAAAAAATTTCAATGTACTCCCATAACATCATTACCGTGAATTGATTTAAAATTTTTAAAAGAATTTCCCGGAATACATCCACCATGACATTTGCAACCAATTCTATTACATTTTCTAATGCCACAATATTTATTATTTTTTCGAGGTTTACCATTGCCACAAACTTTGATTTTACAAACTACTTGTGGCCTATTTTGGTAAAGAATTTCCACTTTTCTAAAAGGATTAGTGTGTCTAGTTGCTTGAAAGTGGGAACAATTCTTATCAACACTGGATGATGCAAAAAATAATGTAGTCTTTCGGCAGCATACATTTTTCTTCGCGTAAATAAAATGCGAAAATGTTGTAAGCATTACGAGAAATAGAACAATCTTCAACTTTGACATTCTCACTATTTTAAATGTCTTTATAACGGAAGGTGAAATTTTACCGAACTGATCAAGATTGCATTCAAGAAAAGGAGAACAGTTTTTTTTTCACTGATATAAAATAGACAAATAGTTACAAGTCGTGAGAAAGTAGAAGATATAATATTAATAGTAGTAATAAAAACAGATGGGAAAATTTTTTTTAAAGATAATTTTATTATTAGGTGCAGTTATATGTTTGTAAAATAATCTCTTTCAGTGCAATAATAGTATCAAGTAGTCGGAAAAATAAAACAAAAAGTATGAAAAATAAAAAAATAATGACAGGCCTTGGATATGCGACTATTGACAAATTTTTTAAAATTATATTTTTAAATAATTATTTTTCGATAATAAAATTTAAAAAATATAGGTATAGGTAATTAAAAAAATTTTCGAATAATTTCGAAATTTTGTAAAATTTAATTAAAAATAGTTTATCTTTTATAAGTATTTTATTACAATTTTAAAAAAACAACTTTTGAAAAATTTTAATTGCAAATTTTTAAAATAATTAAATTCTCAAAAATTTGCAATGAAAAATCTTCAAGTGTAAATTTTAAAATTTTAAATGAAAATTAACGAAAATTTTCTTCTAAAAATTATATTAAATTATTAAAAAAAAAGAATTTCTTAAAATTTTTCCATTCTAATTCCTTCAGATTTTAAATATTTCAATATTCAAAATTCTTAAGAATTTAATTTTTCAGTCATAATAAAATTTTGGAAAAAACATGTTCGTATTATTTTATAATTAAAATTCTATAAAAATTTTATTATTTTTTTTTATATTTTTCAAAAGATTTTTTATCTTTAAAAGTTTTTAAATTTTTAAAAGAAATTTTTCAAATTTAAATTACTTTTAATAGATTTTATTAAATTTCAATTATTATTATGAGATTTTATCAAATTTCAATTGTTTGGAAATTTTTTAATTGTACATTTAATTAAAACAATAATATCTTTAAAAAATTATTTTAAGATATATTTTTAAAAAATTAATTTTAAGAATTTCTTTATTAGAATTTTTAGGAAATATTATATCTTAATAAATTTTAAAAATAAATAATTATTATAAAAAATTGAACTTTTGTTTTTAAATAATTGATTCAGAGATGAAATTTAGTTAAAAATTGTAGAAAATAATTGAATTTTGGAAGGACTATAGTTGTAATTTTTAGAAAGTATTTAGAAGAATTTTATTATTTATAAAGATAATTGAAATTTTGACTAGATTTTTAAAAATTTTTGAACAGAATTGGATTTTTGAGAAGAATTTTATTACTTTTAAAAATAATTGAATTCTTGTGATGAATACTATTGTTTATAAAAGTAATTGAATTTTGTCGAAGAATTTTCCTATTCATTTATAAAGATAATTGAAATGTTGACGAATATTTTTTTTTTTTTTGAAAATAATTGAATTTCTGCGAAAAATTTGTTAATAATTTTAAAAATAATTGAATTCCAGAAAAGAATCAAAATTCATAAAAATAATTGTAATTTTGAAGAGAAGTTTAAACAATTTTTTAACATAATTGAGTTTCTGCGAAGAATTTCATTACTTTAAAAAATAATTAAATTCTTGCCAAAAATATTGTTATTTTTGAAAATAATTGAAATTTTGCTAAGAATTTTATTTAAATTTTTAAAAATAATTGAATTTTTGCGAAGAATTTTATTACTTTTGAAAATAATTGAAATGTTGACGACCGGTTTTTTTTATTTTTTGAAAATATTCAAATTTCTGCGAAGAATGTTTTTAAATTTAAAAATAATTGAATTCTTGCCATGAATTTTTTTTTTGGGAAATAATTGAATTTCTGTGAAGAATGTTATTAATTTTGAAAATAATTGAATTTTTGCGATGAATATTGTTATTTTTGAAAATAATTGAAATTTTACTAAGAATTTTATGAAAATTTTTGAAAATAATTGAATTCTGGAGAAGTATTTTATCATTCATAAAAATAATTGTAATTTTGAAGAGAAGTTTAAACAATTTTCAAACATAATTGAATTTCTGCGAAGAATTTCATTACTTTAAAAAATAATTGAATTCTTGCCATGAATATTGTTATTTTTGAAAATAATTGAATTTCTGCGAAGAATGTTATTAATTTTGAAAATAATAGAATTCTTGCGATGAATATTATTATTTTTGAAAATAATTGAAATTTTTCTAAGAATTTTAATAAAAGTTTTGAAAATAATTGAATTCCGAAGAAGAAATTATTTAAAAAATTATTTATTAAAAAAATATTTTTTATTATATTATTATTATTTTTATTTTTATTTTTTTTTTATTATTTTTTATTATTTTTAAAGATAGGTAATTGTAAATTTGAAGAGAATTTTAAAAAAATTTGGAATATAATTGAATTTTTGCGAAGAATTTTATTCTTTGGAAAATAATTGAATTCTTGTTTTTAAATAATTGATTTAGAGATGAAATTTAGTTGAAAATTGTAGAAAATAATTGAATTTTGGAAGGACTATAGTTGTAATTTTTAGAAAGTATTCAGAATACTTTAATTATTTATAAACATAATTCAAATTTTGACGAGAAGTATTTTAAATTTTTATAATTTAATTCTTTCTATGAATATTGTTATTTTCGAAAATAATTAAAATTTCGTTAAGAATTTTATAATTTTTGAAAATAACTAAATTCCGGAGAAGAATTTTATTATTAATAAATATAATTGTAATTTTGAAGAGGATTTTAAAAAATTTTTGAACATAAAATAATTGAATTTCTGCGATGAATTTTGTTACTTTTGAAAATAATTTAATTTTGGAAGGACAATTATTGCAATCTCTAGAAAGTATTCAGAAGGTTTTAAATTGGAATTTTAAAAATTTTATTTAAGAAGAAAGAATTAAGAATTATTAAAATATTTATTTAACGAAATTATTCAAGCTTTTAATAATTAAATTTAGAAATGAAATGTCAGAGAAATAGAAAATAAAATTTTTGTGACAACAATTCATTAAATAAAACGAATTTTTCGATTTTTTTGTATTTTTAATTTTTGTGATTATTCTAGAAGTAGTCCAAGCCAGTATTAGTCAGACAAAAGTTAGAATATTTTTTTATTAATATTCAATTTTAGATGTCAAAATTTTATATTTTTTTAATCAGTAGTAGAAAAAGTGTATAGAGTCAGAAACATTTTTAAATTTTGGGACTCCTAGACAAGTAGTTCAAGTCTTTATTAGTCAGACAAGAATTTTGAGTGTTTAGCATTAGTGAGCGAAAAAGTAGATAAAATTTTTTATTTTTTGTTATCAGTGATAAAATACAATTGCAGTTTCTTATCTACAATTATTAATTGAAGATAAAAAATTTTGTAATTTACATAGTAATAATAATAATAATAATAATAAATTGAATATCACGTTTCGCGTTCTAGGGCGCGTAACATTAGCTAGTTATAATAATAACAGTGATAATAATAATTATAATAATGATAAATATAATAAGAATTGTAATTAATAATTAATAATAATAATTACTATAATTATTATTATTATTATTATTATTTTTAGCACCGCCTGGAAATTGAATGCAACAAATGTAAATGAAAATAGAGTAATAAAATAATAATTGGATGGAGATAATTAGGATAATTAACTAAGAGTTCTTCTTGGGCGATATTTCTGTAGTAATGATAATTTTCTTATTTGTGTTGCAGGTGGAAAAGGAAGTAAAATTCGTAACGACCTTTTGCTTTTAGACGATCCAACGACGACAGACGCTTCGAAGAAACGTTCTCAATCTGGTAAAAAGAACGCCGAGCACAAGAAGGTAAAGAAAGGGAAGAGGAAGAAACTGAATTTAGACATAACTTTGACAAACATGAACGAGACTTTAGCTTCGAAGCTCGATGTAAGCTGCTCTAAAGGAAAAGGTCTCTTTAATGCTCCTCCTTATCTGCAAAACGCTCGCGCTCCCAAGATTGTAAGGTATTAATAAAAACAAACTTTTTTGAATAGAATGCATCTCTTTACATTGCAGGTTTTTTTTTTATCCAAAATCGTTCGATTATATTAAAAAAAAAAATTTATCAAAAAGAAAGAATTTAAAAAAAAAATTTCTCAAAAAAATTTCCATAAAGAAAACAGACAATAAACAGAATAAAAGTAAAAATGAAAGCAAAATATATCTTCTTCTATTTTAATAATCGCTGTGATCCGGTAATCTGTTCGCAGTTTCAAGTCAGTTCTTCTCGTTTGCTTTTTGTTTCCTAACATTTTTAATAAATGAATTTTAATAGAGAAATTTTATTAGAATTTTTTTTTAAACAATTGAATTCAATCCAGAAATGTTAATAATTATGAAAATAATTGAAACCTTGCTAAGAATTTTATTATATAATTCTTTAATATAATTAAATTCCTGTGAAGAATTTTTGTTATTGTTGTTATTAATTTTCAAATAAAGATTAATTGAAAAAGAATTTTTTTTTATATTGAATAAAGAAATGAAAAATTCAATGATTTTTTTTTATTCTCTCATTTTGAAAACTATCCAGAAGAACTACAGGTGGAATATTTTTCGATATATATTGTTTTTTTCTTCGAGTATCATCGCAAATATAATGCAATTTGTTTATAGAAGGAAAAATGTGGTTTCATCGAAGAAAAATTACCTCGTTGCTGTATACGAATGTATGGAGGGTTACGTTTTGAAGGATCCAATGGCAGATCGCATGTTTTGTAGCAAACGAAATTGGTTGGGAACGATGCCAGAGTGTATTAAAGAAGAAGGTAAGTTAGAGGAAGGAATTCTTCCCGCAGCGAAAAAAGAAAAGATATTCATATAATTTTCTTTTTTTTATTTTATATTTATATTGCAATTTTTTTTTCTCTCAATCAATTTTTAAACGATTCTTTTCCATAAAGTTGGAAATTTTTTTTTCTCCTCTCGAAGTAAAGAATTTACTTCTTGAAGTAAATTTTTTAGAAGTAAAAAGACCTTACTTCTCGAAAAGTAAATTTATTTATTTATTTATTCATGACATAAATGAGTAAAAATTAAGACCCGTAAAAAATTTAAATTCTTGTCAAAACTTCAATTATCTTTATAATAATAAAATTCTTTTCCGAAATTCAATTATTTTCAAAAATTTTATAAATTTCTTGTCAATAATTCCATTATTTTTATAAATAATACAATTTTTACACAGATTCAATTATTTTCATAAATAACAATATGCATCACAAGAATTCAATTATTTTTATATTTAGAAAAATTTTTTGCTGGAATTGAATTATTTTCAAAAATTTTAATAAAATTCTCCGCAATAAATTCAATATTATTTTCTTAAATATTAAAACCTTTTACAGGAATTCAATTGTTTTTATGAATAATAAAATTCTTTTTAGGAATTCAATTATTTTCAGAAAGAATAAAATTCATCGCAGATAAATATAAAAATTCTCCCCAGAAATTCAATTATTTTCGGAAATTTTAATAAAATTCTTTGCAAAGATTCCAATTATCTTTATAAATAGCAAAAATCTTCGGGAAATGTAATTATTCTTAAAAATTTTATTAAAAATCGTCGAAAGAATTCAATTCTTCAAAAATATTTTGTTAAAATTCTTTATGAGAATTTTGAATTTTAAGAAACATTCAATTTTTATTAAATACATCATTAATTATTATTGTCTATATTTCCAAAAATTTTTTAAAAATTCTTCCCTAATTGATAAATATTATCAAAATTCTTCCCAAAAATTCAATTAATTTAAGGAATGTTAATAAAATTCTTTGTAAAATTCCATTACTTTCATTAATAACAAAAATTTATCACAAAAATTCAATTATTTTCAAAAGTAATAAAATTCTTTGCAGAAGTTCAATTATTTTTATAAACATTCTTTGGAAGAATTCAATTATTTTTATAAATAGTAGAAAATATTTTGCAAAAATTTCAATTATTTTCAATAAAATGTTAATAAAGTTTAACGAAAGAATTCAATTATTTTTTAAATAGTAAAATATTTGCAAAAATTCAATTATCATCAATAAAATTACACGAAAGAATTCAATTTTTTTCAATACACTATTAATGAAAATCCTCCAAAGAATTAAAATTTTTATCAAAACAATTTTATTATTTTTCAAAAATTTAATAAAAAATCTTTGCAAGATTTCAATTATTTTCATAAATAATAAAATGTTTCAAAGGATTTCAATTTGTTTTCAAATAATTTTAATAAAATTCTTTAAATTATTCATTTTTAGTAGGATTTTCTAATAAAAATTGATTTTCTAATAAAAATTGATTTTCATTTCATAAAAATGAATTTCAGTTAAATTCTTAGATAATAATTGAATATTAAAAGCAATATAGCGTGAATTTTTAGAAATAATTGAATTTTAAAATTAATTTTTTTGAAAAAATGTAATTGAATTTTTTTTATATTATTTTAAGTTTTTATTTTCTAATATATATTTAATTGAAGAATTTACGAATAATTGAAATTTTATCAAAATTGAATATTGTAAATAAATGGATTTTGAAAATTAATTGATTTATAGAAAAATTTTAGTAAAAAATTCCTAAAAATAATAATCGATTTAAAATGATGAAAATAATTTTGAAGAAGTACAATATTCTTATATAATAAAAAATAATGATTTTCTCAATTTACCATTTTTAATTATTATAAAAATTTATTTTATACTTTTAAGTAAAATTTTCTCTTATTTGACTCGGATTGCTTATATTTTTGTTAGTAATTGGTCCGTAAAGTCCGTATTTTTAAAATACTTTCATTTAATTGAATTTATTTATATTTAAAGTTTTTATTTTTCAATATATATATATATTTAATTGAAGAATTTACGAATAACTGAAATTTGTAAAATTGAATATTGTAAATAAATGGATTTTGAAAATTGTCGAAGAACTTTTTCGAAAATTTGTCATAGAAATCAAATGTAAAATTTAATTACACAATAATATAAAGTTGAAAGAAAAATACTATTTCAGGAATTTAAATTCTGTCTAATTAAAAACCACTAAAATTTAGTAGAATTCATGTAGAAATTGTATAGAATCGTTCTAGTAAAATTCTATAGAATTTCACTAGAATTCCTATAGAATTATTCTATAGAATGATTCTATTGAAATTCTGTAGAATTTCACTGGAATTCCTATAGAATTATTCTATAGAATGATTCTAGTGAAATTCTCTAGAACTTTTTCAGCTGGGATTATTAATTATTTTATTTGTAATTATTTTTATTATTAATTATTTCTATTATTAATTATTGTTATTATTAATTATTTCTATTATTAATTATTGTTATTATTAATTATTTTTATTATTAATTATTGTTATTATTAATTATTTTTATTATTAATTTTTTTCATTTGCATGAATGTGATATATTGCGATGTTTTACTAGTGCAATTTTTTCAAATAACTAATTAAGTCGCAAAATATGATTCGCGAGTATAGATAGTTTGGTTTTGATTGGAAACTGACGGAGGGAAGAAATATTACAACACGCTTATATTTCTAAAGATAGGCGTCACTGAGAGAGAGAGAGAGAGAGAGAGACTTTATCGTAGAAATTGATCCGGAAAAAAAAATGTTATATTCGCTGGTGTATTTCCTGTTTGAAAGATGCATTCACGTGATGATCTTAAGGCGTTTATGGATTATGTATGTGAATGTGGTTTATAGTATTAGTGATGTGTGCATGTATTGTTTCAGAATTGCTACAAGAAATAGTTAGACGTTGCGTTCCAGACAACGGTGGGTGCGACCATATCTGTGAGGACAACCCCTCTGGGATTCAATGCTCCTGCTATGATGGTTATCGAGCAAATGGAACATCTTGTCTTGGTATCTATATTATACACTTTTTTTTACCATAGAAACAATTTAATCCGTAACAATTTTTTTTAAATATTTTAAATTTAATAAATCCTACTTTCATTTTAATTTTAATTTTCACTTTATGAAAACATGAAGCTCTACTTCCTAAACAATTTTTATTTATACACATCGCAAATAAATATCAGATAAAAATTATTAGTTCGAATATTTATATAATTTTATATTTCATCAGTTCTATCAAATGTCAATTCGTGCAAATAAAAATTCGGACACATGAAGATTCGATGAAATAAAAAATTCTGCTATTTAAAGCTCGACTCACTGAAATTCGCTGTTAAATGATATTTCCGCCGAATTAAATTTCGATTAGATTATAGCCACCATTTAATTAAAAAATTGATTAAATTAGAAGTTTTGTAAAATATCCGATAAATAACAATTTGATGGTGACCTGACATTGTGTTAAATAAAATTTTCGTTAAATAAAAATTCACGTTAATTTTAAATCAAAATATTCAGCTGTAGATAAAAAAATTCTTTTCAAAAAAAAATCCTTAGTGTAATAAATAAAAAAAAATTTCCATTTAAATAATTTTTCTGCTATTTATGATCTTGAAAATTTGAAAATTGATTGAAAATCTGAAAAATCTATGGCAATAGGATCATTTCATTTAAAGTGAAATTGAGTTTAGTTCGATGGGAAATTATGATGCAGATTTTTCTTCTATCTGCGAAGGTGATGATTGTGTTATGGGAGAATTTTAACAGTGAAATATGAGACAAGAGAAAGGAATTACTGTTCCAGACGATAATCGCGTGGAACATCTTGTAGGATACTAACACGAATCAGATCTTTACCAAAAGACGTGCTCATGGTTTCTTGAGATAATGGAATAAGATGATACTTTGTTGAAAGCGGGGGTGGCGGGGATTTTGTGTTCTCTTCTGAAATTCAAGTAGCTTCATCCACATCAAAATATGCTAATTGGTTTCATGCCTCAAAATAAGTGCTTTCTACAAACTCCCTCATGATATATATTATATTCAAAACAAATTTCATAGAAAAAGTGTTTGTTGCAAAAATTTGTTTTCTAAGCTCGAGGTGGGAAATTTTTAATTTTACATACATTTTTTTACTTTTAGTTCTTTTAAATTACCTTTTGTTACAAACAAGAATTTTGGATTGAAATTCTTTTTTAATTTCACTAAAAAAATATTCGGTAAAATATTTTTAAATTTTATTTGTTGAAAAGTCCACTTAATTCTCTATTGAGTTTATAAGAAGAAATTTTTATAAATTATTTACAATTAAATGCAGTATTTTATTTATAACAATTTTCTTCGTATTCTGTTATTATATATTGATCAGGCGTTTTAAAACTTGCCGACAAAAGTTTCACATAAAAATTTCACACTCCTCAACTTAGCTTTCAAATTCTGCAATATTTATTAGAATTCATTTTTTATTATTTTTTAAATCTTATCAACTTTTTTTTTGTTTGATTCTTATTTTGTTTTAATTCTTCGACATTTAATCTGTTAAAAATAAATCTTATTTTTCACTTTTTACTAAATCCGTTCATATTATAAACATTTTTGACTGAATCTTAGCCTTGAGAGTAATAAAGTCCTAAGCTGATTTAACTCGCAGCAGGCCTCGGATTTATTTAAAAAAAAAAGTCGCTTTAGACGATTAAAAATATAAAAAAAATTTAAAAAGTCGTTTTATTTAATTTATTGTTGTCACAAAAATTTTATTTTGTATTTCTCTGACCTATTTCTAAATTCAATTATTAAAAACTTGAATAACTTTGTTAAATAAATATTTAAATCCTACTTCTTATTTCTTTTTTTCTACAAGGAAATACAATTTTTAAATTTTAATTTAAAACCTTCTGAATACTTTCTAAAAGTTACAACTATAATTCTTCCAAAATTCAATTATTTTCTACAATTTTTAACTAAATTTCATCTCTAAATCAATTATTTAAAAACAAAAATTCAATATTATTATTTTTAAAAGTAATTAAATTCTTTTCAGAAATTCAATTCTTTTCAAAATTAATAACATTTTACGCATAAATTCAATTATTTTTATGAACAATAGTATTCATCACAAGAATTCAATTATTTTCAAAAGTGAGAAAATTCTTAGCAGAAATTCAATTCTATTCAAAAATTTAAAAAAATTCTATCAAAATTTCAATTACTTTTATAAAAAATAAAATTTTTCTATGAAATTCAATTACCTTCAACAATTTTAATGAAATTCTTCTATGAAATTCAATTATTTTCAACAATTTTAATAAAATTCTTAGCAAAATTTCAATTACCTTCAAAATTATTTTTTAAATTCTTAGCAAAATTTCAATTATTTTCAAAAGTAACAATATTCATCGCAAGAATTCAATTATTTTTAAAATTAATAAAATTCTTTGCAGAAATTAAATTTTTTTTCAAAAAATCAACAAAAAATGGTCGTCAACATTTTAATTATCTTTAAAAATGAATATCAAAATTCTTCGACAAAATTCAATTATTTTTATATTTTTTTCATATTTTCATTTTTATCACAAGAATTCAATTATTTTCAAAAGTAATAAAATTTTTTGCAAAAATTCAATTCTGTTAAAAAATTTAAAGTAATTCTCATCAAAATTTCTATTACGTTTATAAATAATAAAATTCTTTCTAAAAATTACAATAACTATAATCCTTACAAAATTCAATTATTTTCTACGATTTTTAACAAAATTTCATCTCTAAAATCAATTATTTAAAAACAAAAATTCAATTTTTTATAATAATTGTTTATTTTAAAAAGTTAATAAGATATAATATTTTCAAAACATTGTAATAAAGAAATTCTTGAAATTAATATTTTTTTAAATAAATAATTTGTGAAAGATAAAATAGTGTTTTAATTAAATGTACAATTGAAAAATTTCCAAATAATTGAAATTTCATAAAATCTGATAATAATAATTGAAATTTAATGAAATCTATTAAAAATAATTGAAATTTGAAAAATACTTTTAAAAATAAAAGAATTTTTGAAAAATAAAAATAAAATTTTTAAAGAATTTTAATTATAGAATAATATGAAAATGTTTTTTTTTCAAGATTTTATTAGGTTTGAAAAATTAAATTTTCAAGAATTTTAATTTACTTTTTTTTTTGAAAATAATTGATTGTTAAGAAATTACGATAAAACATTTCTAAAAATCAGTTTATTAAAAATATTGTACTGTAATTTTTTGAAAATAACTGAATTTCTTAAAAGAATTTCTGTAAGTTATAGAAAACTAATCAATTTTTTTCAAGAATTTTAATAAAAAATTTTGAACATAATCGTGTTTTCTAAAATGTTAAAAATAGTTCTAAAAAATTTTAATATAATTTTAAGAAGAAAATTTTTATTAATTTTTATTTTAAAATTTACACTTGAAGATTTTTCATTAGAATTTTTGAGAATTTAGGTAATTATTTTAAAAATTTGTAATTAAAATTCTTCAAAAGTTGATTTTTAAAAGTTGTAATAAAATACTTGAAAAAAATAAATTATTTTCCATTAAATTTTACAAAATTTCAATTATTCTAAAATTTTTTAGTATATTTTAAAAATTTTTTATTGTAAAAATATATTCAAAAATATAATTTTGAAAAATTTGTCTATAGTTATTTTTCACATTATAAAAATCGAAGTACAGTTGCATTTTATACTAAAAATGTTGTATTTTGTTGCAACATTTGAAAAAAAGGCGAAAAGTCACAATTTTTGAAAATAAGTCGAAAAAAGTGTCATTTTTTGAAAATAGTCCAAAGTCATAATATTCGAGGCCTGCCACAGTTTTAAATTTATAAATATTCTTTTCAATAATAATTTTCTTAATTTTAGTAAATTTATTTATTAATTTTTAGTTTCTCACTTTATTTTTTCAGAGTAGTTGATAAATTGTATATTTTCTACACGGACAGAAAATACAAACACAATTAGAAATTATCTGAATAAAAAAAAGTAATATCGAAGTAATGGGGGAAAAAAAATTGAATATATTGATGTTTATATTTAAATGAAATGAAAATATAATTTAGCATAAAGTATCAAGTGCATTATGGGCAAGAACATGTCTGGCATGTTGCTAATCGCCCCAAAGGGATTTAAGCGCCAGGAGCATTGTATGCTAATCTAAAACAGAATCTCCTTTATCTAAAGGAAGGAAGGGATGGGTGCGGGGGCAGAAGATTCTAGAGAGATCTATTTTGTACGGTATCCTAGGTATTTGGGTAAGGAAACACGTGCGCAGCGGTTTTACTCTTTTGTTGTCCGCAACAAAAATACATTTCACAATTTATTGTCTGCGAAAAGTTTTAAAGCGCGATTTTAAAAAAACAAATTTTATATTAATAATAAACCGCTTACAAAATTTAGTCTCTAATAAATCTCTCGCATATATTTCGGATCCAGTAATAGCAGACGTTTCTAGTCAGACAAAACACTAATGCTTAGAATAATACTCAAAGGTGAAAAAATAAAAATTTATTTTAATAAAATTTTACAATTATTTTACAAAAAAATGTAATTACAAAAAATACTAATTTCTCTTGTGCACAGATTATTTCGATTATTATTCCTATAATTTTATTATTATAATAATTCTATTATTTTTTATTAATAGTAATAATTTGTCCTACTATTATTATAATTATATTATTAATTTTCCCAATTATTTAATAATTGCAAATTCATTGTTATACTTGCGGCTTGGCAAATATCGCACAAAACAAATGTAAATGAAACGAAACAATTATAAATTAATTTAAATTTAATTTTGTTAATGATAAAATCGTAAAATTAAATTATCTCTAAATATTAATACAGAAATAATATAATCGTTGGTTGAAATTAATTTATACTTGAAATGTTAATTGAATAAATGAAAATAAAATTCACTTTTCTGTAATAGAATTTTCGTAATTATTTAAATATTAATATTATAATAGTAATGAAAACAAAAAAAGGAAAATTGCCTTAACTTTCAATATCGTTCGATATTTATATGTACGGTACTTGATCCCTCGAAAATTAACGATCGTAGCTGGAAGGAAAAGGTTAGATTATTAGATCCTCGCCTCATTTCGTTTACAGTGTTGCGGCATAGTGCACTTACAGCAATTCCGCTCACTGATTTAACGGAAATTGGATGTCTGAAGTGTTAGAAACTTAAATTTTTTTGCAACTGGATGTTATTTATATAAAATGTTTTTCGCTTCTTACTGAAAAATTTAAATTTCAATTATTGTTTTTCTTTTTTTTTAAGAATAATTTGTTCTCTCATTCATTCACTTTTTTTTCCCTCAAACTCTGAAGTTGTCTATTGTTTATACTTTTGTTTCTTGTTAACTTTAGATAGATTGTATGTTATAATTATTTTTCTTTTATTTATTTTATAATTAATTCAAAATTGTAATGACAGATGGAAATCATTAGAATTTTTTGTCACTTTTTTTCATGAAAAGACTAAAATTCTGTTAAATATTGTTTTGTCAAATTGAAATTATTTTTGTTCTTTACTTCTAAAGAAAATTAGAAAATTGTTAAACAACTGTGATTAAGAAATAGAAAATTTATTTATTTTCCATTATTTTTCTTTATGAATCACAATTTTTTTAACAAAATTATTATTTTGTTTTATAGAAAAAGAAGAAAAATATTTGCACAATTTCTATTTTTAATCTTATTTTTAAAACAGGATTTTCCACAGGAATTAAGACATTCAAAAAATTCAAATTCATTTTAGTTAAATTATTATTTTCTAGAATTTTAAATTATTTTATATAAAAATAATAATTTAATTTCTTAAAAAAAAATTTATTATTTATGAAAATAATTGAATTCGTGTGAAATTTTTATTATTTATGAAAATAATTAAATGTTTGCATACAATTTTATAAAAAATTTGTTAAAATAATTGAATTTTTTTGGGGAAATTTTATTAAATAGTAGATATTGAAAATCATTGAAATAAGAAAAATGCATTTTATTTTTGAAAATAATTGAAATTCAGACAAGAATTTTTTTGAAATTTATGAAAATAATAGAACTTTGCAGAAGAATTTTGTTATTTATAAATTTTTTTTCAAATTTTAAACATAGCTGAATTTTATAAACAGAATTTTATTTTTTTTTGAAAATAATTGAATTTCTGCAAATTATTTCTGATTTCTCCAAAATTGAATTTTTTTAGTTTTTTTTTACGAGAATTTTCTTAAAATTTTGAAGAATAATTGAATTTTTACGAAGATTTTTACAAAAAAATTTTTAAATAATTGAATTCTGTTTGGAAATTTTATGAAATTTTATAATAATTAAATGTCTTTGTGGCATTTTATTAAATTTTTTTTTTTTAATAATTAAATTCCTAAAAAGTATTTTATTATTTATGAAAATAATTGAATTCTTGAGAACAATTTTATTATAATTTTTTAAAATTGAATTTCCAAGAAACAATTTATTACTTTTAAAAATAATTGAATTCTTGTAATGAATATTGTTATTTATTAAAATAATTGAATTTTGCAAAAAATTTTATTAAAATGTCTCAAAATAATTGAATTTCCAAGAAAAAATTGAGAACTTTTAAAAATAATTGAATTCTTGTAATGAATATTGTTGTTTATGAAAATAATTAAATTTTACAAACAATTTTATTTAAATGCCACAAAATAATTGAATTTTCGGGAATAATTTTGTTATTTATCTTTAGTAATTGAATTCTTTCTTTAGAACAATTTTATTAAAATATTTGAAAATAATTTGAATTCCTGTGAAAAATTCTAATATTTATGTAAATAATTAAATTCTTCCAATGAATTTTGAAAAAAGATTTTTATAAATAATTGATTTTTTCGAGGAACTGTAATTAAATTTTTAAGAATAATTACATTTTTTTGAGCAGTTCCTGTAAAATTGTATTAAAAAATAATTGAAATCCTGCCATGAATTTTATTAAAATTTGCAAAAATAATTGTATTCCTGAGAAGAATTTAATTGTTTATGAAAATAATTAAATTATTGCGAAAAATTTTTTTAAAATGTTTAAAAAGAATGGAATTTCTGTGAAAAATTTTGTTATTTTTGAAAATAATTGAATTTTGCAAAAAAAAAAATTATTAAAAATAAAAAGCCACAAAATAATTGAATTTCTAAGAATAATTATTGTTATTTATTGACATAATTGAATTCATTTGAAGAATTATTTATGTAAATAATTGAATTCTCCCTAATTTTCTCCAAAATTTTTCTTCTGAATGGAATTATTACCAAAAAATTTAATTAAAATTGTATTTCAAATAATTGATTTCTTTCGAAAATTTTTATTAAAACATTTGAAAATAATTTAATTCATGTGAAAAATTCTAACATTTTTTGTATGTAATTGAATTATTCAGAAGAATTAAAAAAAAAATCTTTTTTTTTTAAATAATTGAATTCGTTTTGGAAAATTTTATTAAAATCATAGATATTGAAAGTCATTGAAATTAGTAATTTTTTTTTGAAAATAATTGAAATTAGGACAAGAGTTTTTTTTTGACATTTATGAATATAATTGAACTTTGGAGAAGAATTTTGTTATTTACAAAGATAATTGGAATAATTTTCAAATTTTCATAGTTGAATTTTATAAGAAGAATTTTAATTTTTTTTCGAAAATAATTGAATTCCTGCAATTATTTGTAATTTCTCCAAAATTGAATTTTTTTAGTGTTTTCAACAAAAATTTGAATTAAAAAATTTTTAAATTCTATTATTTTTAATATTGCTAATTTTATTTAAAAAAAGGTAGCAAGAAGTTAGAATTGTTGCTAGAATTAATATGAAAACAGAAAAGAGAAATTTTTTAATTGCAATTTTGGAATATTAAATTTTAGAAGAGAAATGAATGATTAAAAAAAGGAGGAAGATTTTTCTCTTTAGCTTGTTCTAGCTTGTGACATATTTGTGCTTGCGGAAAGAATATTTAAATGAAAGATAAGATGTCATGCTGATCGGAATTTATTTTTCTGTTGTACTATATATATATGTGCAAGATCAGCATTTATGGTAATGTCTATATATCAAATTCGCCTTCTCAGAGGGAGGAAAAATAAGAAATATATATATTTGAAGCTTTATTCTTCTGAATGGAATAACCATAAAAGTGAAACAAGGAAAAAAAAGAGCGAGGAAGAAAAAAGGATTTCACTTATTTTTCTCTCTCGATACAAACATAAAGCAGCGAATTTGTTCAGCGAGAGGAAAAAGAATGTACATTGTAGTGGGGAGAGAGGAATGCGAAATAAATATGTTCACATAGAAAATTTTTACTTTTTTTTTTTTTTTTTTGTTAAAGATATCGATGAATGCACCGAAGGGACGTCTGGTTGTTCGCACATTTGTCAAAACGATCGCGGATCTTTTCATTGTGAATGTCCCAGTGGATTTTCATTGAGCGACGAGGACACTCATTCCTGTGTTGGTAAGACATTTATAAAATACATTAATTTGCGATTATTTTTGAAAATCACTAAAAAATAAAATAAAAAAATAAAATAAAAATAAACTAATAAAATAAAAATAATAAAAAAAATATTTCGAAATATTTTTGTTTTAAAGTTTATATGTCAATAATTAACTATTTTATTTTTGCTACCTTTTCATTTTCACTATAAAAATGAAAAGGTATCAAAAAGTAAATAGTTAATTATTGACATACAAAATTTAATAGTTACAAACTTAATAGTATCAAATTGCAACGAATCGATACCAAAATTGTGGATCAAATACAAAATTGATCTAAATTTGTTGCATCAATTTGATATTTTTAAGAAAATTGTGTTAATCATAATTTTCTGTCAAGTGAAGACTATAAAAATAAATTTCACAGTGCAGTAAACATTACAGATGTACATAGTACCATTTAATTACCCAAAAGCTAATTTCAACTCTAATTGAACGAGTTGCGATTTTATCAATCGTTTTACTTTTTTAATGAGTTTTCTTCTTGCAAAATTTCTTCACAATTTATATGATAATTTTTAACCAGCACTTTAAACTTGGAAATAATTAACAGACCTCGGATATTATGACTTTTTCGACTATTATCAAAAAATGCAACTTTTTTCTACTTTTCCAAAAATTGCGACTTTTCGACTATTTTTTCCAAATGTTGCAAGAAAATACCACATTTTTTAGTATAAATTGCAACTTATTTCGATTTTTATAACGTGAAAAATAACTATAGACAAATTTTGAAAAATTATATTTTTCAATAATTTTTTTACGATAATAAAATTTTAAAAATATAGGTATAATTAAAAAATTTTAGAATAATTGAAATTTTGTAAAATTTAATTGAAAATACTGAAGGAAGAAGTTAACAATCTCTCCGAACCATTTCTCACTTAAAGTTTCATTAAGATTTCATGTACATAATAACTTCCTTTAATATAATTAATACCGAATGATAAATTCCTTTCCTATAATTAATTGAAAATAGTTTATTTTTTAAAAGTATTTTATTACCTACAATTTTTTGAAAATCAACTTTTGAAGAATTTTAATTTCAAATTTTTAAAAGAATTAAATGCTGAAATGTTTTATCGTAATTTTTTAACAATCAATTATTTTCAAAAAAAAGTAAATTAAAATTGTTGAAAATTTAATTTTTCAGACCTAATAAAATCTTGAAAAAAAAACATTTTCATATTATTCTATAATTAAGACTCTTTAAAAATTTTATTTTTATTTTTCAAAAATTCTTTTATTTTTAAAAGTATTTATCAAATTTCAATTATATTTAATAGGTTTTATTAAATTTTAATTATTATTATCAGATTTTATGAAATTTCAATTATTTGGAAATTTTTCAATTGTACATTTAATTAAAACACTATTTTATCTTTCACAAATTATTTATTTAAAAAAATATTAATTTCAAGAATTTCTTTATTACAATGTTTTGAAAATATTATATCTTATTAACTTTTTAAAATAAACAATTATTATAAAAAATTGAATTTTTGTTTTTAAATAATTGATTTTAGAGATGAAATTTTGTTAAAAATCGTAGAAAATAATTTGAATTTTGGAAGGATTATAGTTATTGTAAATTTAAGAAAGAATTTTATTATTTATAAACGTAATAGAAATTTTGACGGGAATTACTTTAAATTTTTTAACAGAATTGAATTTTTGCAAAGAATTTTATTACTTTTGAAAATAATTGAATTCTTGTGATAAAAATGAAAATATGAAAAAAATATAAAAATAATTGAATTTTGTCGAAGAATTTTGATATTCATTTTTAAAGATAATTAAAATGTTGACGACCATTTTTTGTTGATTTTTTGAAAAAAAATTTAATTTCTGCAAAGAATGTTATTAATTTTAAAAATAATTGAATTCTTGTGATAAATATTGTTATTTTTAAAAATAATTGAAATTTTGCTAAGAATTTAAAAAATAATTTTGAAGGTAATTGAAATTCTGCTAAGAATTTTATTAAAATTGTTAAAAGTAATTGAATTTCATAGAAGAATTTCATTCAAATTTTTGAAAATAATTGAATTCCTAAGAAAAATTTTATTATTCATAAAGGTAATTGTAATTTTGAAGAGAATGTTAAAAAAAATTTAAATATAATTGAATTTTTGCGAAGAATTTTCTTACTTTTGAAAATAATTGAATTCTTGCGATGAAAATGCTATTGTTTATGAAAATAATTGTATATAAACTTAAAATATAAAGATAATTGAAATGTTGACCAACATTTTTTCTTATTTTTCTAGAAATAATTGAATTTCTGCGAAGAATGTTATTAATTTAAAAAATAATTGAATTCTTGAGATGAATATTGTTATTTTTGAAAATAATTGAAATTTTTACAAGAATTTTATAAAAATTTTTGAAAATAATTGAATTCCTGAGAAGAATTTTATTATTTATAAAACTAATTGTAATTTTGAAGAAAATTTTTAAAAATTATAGAACATAATTGAATTTTTTTTAAATAATTGATTGAGAGCTGAAAACTTAATTAAAAATTGTAGAAATTAATTGAATTTTGGAAAGATATTTCTTGTAATTTTTTGAAAGTATTTAGAAGAAATTTAATAATTTTTAAACGTAATTGAAATTTTGACGAGAATTTTAAAAAATTGTTGAAAACAGAATTGAATTTCTGCCTAGAATTTTATTAATTTTGATAATAATATTGTTATTTTTGAAAATAATTGAATTCTTGCGATAAGTATTGTTATTTTTGAAAATAATTGAAATTTTGCCATGAATTTTATTAAAATTTTTGAAAATAATTGAATTTCAGAGAATTTTAATATTTCTAAAGATAATTGTAATTTTAAAGAGAATTTAAAAAAATTTTTTAATATAATTGAATTTTTGTTTTTAATAATTGATTTAGAAATGAAATTTAGTTAAAAATTGTAGAAAATAATTGAATTTTGAAAGGACTATAGTTGTAATTTTTCGAAAGTAATCAGAAGGTTTTAAATTGAAATTTAAAAAATTTTATTTCCTCTAGAAAAACAATTAAGTATTTAAATATTTATTTAAAAAAATTATTCAAGTTTTTAATTTGTAATTATTGTACAAGTAGTTCAAGTCGATATTAGTCAGACATAAATTTTAAAGTTCTAACATCAATGGTCGAAAATGATTTCTCTGACGACTCTGAATTAAATAAAACGATTTTTTTTTACTTTTTTTCTATTTTTATTTTTTAATCGACTAAAGCGACTTTTTTTTGCTTAAACTCGATCCAAGGCCTGTAATAGTCCAAAAATGTGAGATTTTGTATAGATAAGAAAAAATGTACTATTATCACATTTTAGCAGTAAATATAGTAGTGAATAAACTAAAAATGATATTATTGAATATTTTCACAGACATAAATGAATGTTTATCGAATGATGGTCGTGGTCCATGTCAGGATACTTGTACAAACATTAATGGCAGTTACAAATGTAGTTGTACTAAAATTCCCGGCTATAAATTATCACCGGATAATCACACCTGCGATGATATTAACGAGTGTGAGGAAGATAATGCGGGATGTTCTCAAATTTGCATGAACACACCAGGAAGTGTATTCTGTTTATGTAACGATGGATTTATCTTGGAGGAAAATTCTAAAATATGCAAAGGTATAAATATAGAAAATAGAATATGAACCAAATATTGTTGAGAATGAAAATATAAATATTCAACAGATGTGGGAGAAATAAAAATATTTTCGTGGAAAAAATTTGTTTTAATAAGAAAAAAAAAATGTGTTATTTGTTATAATTTTAGATATCAATGAATGTGAGGGAGGGACAAAAGTTTGTGATGAATCAAGGGAGGTGTGTGAGAATACTATAGGGTCTTACGAGTGTGTTCAGAAACTAAACAAGTCGTCGAAAATCCTTCAGGATGAGGATTACGATGCCGAGGAAAATGACGAGGAAGATGACGAGGACGAGGATTACGAGGGAATCACAGAACTTCCAGGATTAGTGAATTGTGAAGAGGGTTTCCGGAGGTCTGAAAATGGTGAATGTATCGGTAAGTAAAAATTTTACCACCAATGAAATCTGTTTATTATGTCCTTTCTCTTATTTTTTTTTTTAATTAATGAGGGTACGCCAGTTGCAACTGTCTGAATTTTTGATCGAGAATCAAAAAATCAAAAAAAAAAAAAAATTCAGTTAAACTTTTTGAAAAAAATTAATTCTATACAGAATTGTTAGTTAAAAGTATGAAAAATTCAAATTTTTAAAAATTTGAATTTAAAACCTTTTTAAAATTCCATTATTTCTAAAAATGCAGGCTAAAATGCTTTATTATTTATTTATTCAAAAATATACAGGCAATGCTTTGATTAATATCCAATTATTATTATCTAAAATATTTTTACAGAAACTCAGTTTTAAAAATCGATTTTTTTTAGAAAACTCTACGAGAATTCAATTATTTAAATACAAAAATAAATAATTTATTAAATAATTGAATGTTACTTAAAATTGAAAGAATTTTATCCACAAATTTTTAAATAATTGAATTCTTTCGACGAATTTTAATAACATTTTTATGATAATTTTGGAATTTTTTCTTTTTAAGTAGTTAAAGTAAATTTATGTCAGACAAAACGTTTTAAAATTGTTTAAACTTCTTGTACAAGTAGTAAAAGTATATTTAGTCAACCAAAAAATGCTAAAATTTATTTTAACAATACTAAAAGTTGGTAATTTTTGGTTTAAGTAGTTCAAGAAAATTTAAGTCAGACTCGACATAATATATTCCAATGTTTAAAAAAATTCTTGTACAAGTTGTAAAAGCAGATTTTGTCATTTATAAAGCAGATCATATTTTTAATGATTTTAAAAGTCTGGTAACTTTTGGCCTAAGTAGTTCAAGTAAATTTAAGTCAGACGAAATATTAAAAAAAAAAACAATTTTTGAAAATAATTGAATTTTGGAGAAGAATTTTGCTATTTGGTGAAAGAAAAATTTATGACTCGATCATATTGATATGTTGAATCTAAAATTTATCAATCAATCTATTTTTTCTACTTATAAAAATAAAAAAAAAATTGAATTCTCATAAAGAATTTCATTAACAAATTTTCAAAAAAATTGAATTGTTTTGAGGAATTTTAATATTTCTGTAAATAATTAAATTTTTGCGTAAAATTTTATTAAAATTTTATCAAATTTTGACAAGAATTTTTTTAAAATATTTTAAGACAACTGAATTTCGGAGAAGAATTTTAATAATTTTGAAAATAATTGAATTTTTTACGACAATTTTTTTTTTAAATTTTTTAAAAATAATTGAATTTTTGCAAAGAATTTTATTTTCTTTGAAAATAATTGAATTTCTACGAAGAATGTTATTACTTTTGGAAATAATTTAAATTTTTACAAGAAGTTTTTTAAATGTTTGAACATAATTCAAAGTTTGTCAAGAATTTTATTAAAATTTTTGAAGATAATTGAAATTTTGCCAAAAATTTTATTAAACTTTTTGAAAAAAATTGAATTTTGAAGAAGAATTTTATTATTTATAAAGGTAATTGAAATTTTGATGAGAATTTTTTAAAATGTTTGAAGATGTTTGAATTTCGGAGAAGAACTTTAATACTTTTGAAAATAATTGAAATTTTTACGACCATTTTTTTTAATACTTTAAAAATAATTGAATTTTTGCGAAGAATTTTAATACTCTTCAAAATAATTGAATTGTTGACTCGAATTTTTTTTTTTTGATTGTTTTAAAATAATTGAAATTCTGCGATGAGTTTTACTGTTTATAAAAATAATTAAATTCCTAAAAAGAATTTTAGTATTTAGAAAAATAATTGAATCCCTGTAAAAATGTTATTATTTATAAAAATAATTGAATTATAATGGGAAGAAAATATATAAAAAATTTTAAAATTTTTTAACTGAATTGAATTTCTGCGAAGAATATTATTAATTTTGAAAATAATTGAATTTTTGCGATGAATATTGTTTTTTTTGAAAATAATTGAAATTTTGCTAAGAATTTTATTAAAATTTTTGAAAATAATTGAATTTTTGCGAAGAATTTTATTACTTTAAAAAATAATTGAATTGTTGACTTTAATTTTTTTTTTGATTTTTTGAAAATAATTGAATTTCTGCGAAGAATGTTATTACTTTTGAAAATAATTGAAATTCTGCCAAGAATTTTATTAAAATTACAATATATAATAATCATTTATAATTTTTGAATTTCTAAGTAATAATTTTATAATACTCTCTAAATTTGAGTTAGTAAAAATGTTTACTAATTTTGAATTAGTGACTGCGACTTTTTGCTTTTGAATTAGTAAATTTTATTAATAAAATAATAGAAATTACTATTTATTAGTTAAATTTACTAATTCAAAAGCAAAAAGTCAGTCTCTAATTTAAATTAGTAAACATTTTTACTAATCAAATTTAGACAGTAGAAACTCGTAAAAGCTAGCTAAACTCGTAAAAAGTAAGTTATTTAAAAAGAAATTATTATTAGAAATAGAAAAAATTGAAGGTTTTGTATTAGAATTCGTGGTAATTTCACAGTTTATAAGACAAAGAAAAAAGATACCAAATTAATAATTTTCTTATGAATTTTAAAAATTTAATTTCTTCCAGTACTTTTAATAAAAATTCCTGACTTGTTGATTTGCAATGAATGCCCTCAAAAATCCTAGATTCCTAATTTTATGGTAATCGTACCCTTTAGTAATTTTTGTCATGTTTGATGTAAAAAAAAAATTATCAACTTTTCGAAAGTTACAACTGGTCTAACCCTTTTTTAGTTCGAAGTTTAATTCTCTCCTTTTGTTAATTTCCCTATATTCGGAAATTAGAAAACATTTCGAATATAAATCGAAATTCCAGATATCGACGAATGTGTCGAAGGGGACGAGGGAGAACCTCACGGTTGTGAAGAAATTTGCATCAACGAACAAGGAGGTTACTACTGTGCCTGTAATCCAGGTTACGATATTCAAGACGATGGTGTCTCCTGCAAAGACATTGACGAATGTTCCAAAGTCGAAAATATTTGCTCCCACTCCTGTCTTAATACCCAAGGTTCTTACGTTTGTACCTGTCCCTCCGGATTCGTTCTAACCGACAATAAAACCTGTAGCGAAGTTGCACCCAAAAATACCTGCTCCTCGATTAATTGTTCTCATCACTGTCAAGATACACCTTCAGGTGCCGAGTGTCTATGCCCCTCTGGTTATCGACTCGATCCTACCGCTCGAATCTGTATCGATATTGACGAATGCAAAGAATTGAAGAACAATTGCTCTCATTACTGTACCAATCAAGAGGGTACCTTCCACTGTTCCTGTCCTGACGGTTTTGAGTTGAAGGATTTTTTCAATTGCACCGATATTGACGAATGTGTCCAAAGCGACTGTGAGGACAGCTGTGAAAATCTTTATGGTTCTTACAAGTGTACGTGTCCCTTTGGTTTGGTATTAAACGATGATCAGAAGACCTGTAGAGACGTTGATGAATGTTCGACGAAACACAACTGTTCTCATCAGTGCTGGAACGAAGTGGGATCGTACAGGTGTATTTGTCCTCCGGGTTTTGAAATTTCCGAAGATTTGGTGACATGTAGGGATATCGATGAATGTAGCACTAGACACGATTGCTCCCACGCTTGTCTTAACGAACCAGGGAGCTATAGATGCACTTGTGGGTCTGGGACGACACTAAACGAGGATGGGAAGAATTGTCAAGATATCGACGAGTGTCAGATTGGTATTCATGGATGTTCGGATGATTGTAGGAATAGTTATGGAAGTTACGATTGTAGTTGTCCGTTTGGATTTGAATTGGACGAGACTAAAAGGAATTGTCGACCCGAGAACGGTTGTGTGTTAAACTGTTCGCAGGATTGTGATGATTCCAGATGTTCTTGTCGAAGGGGTTTTGTCCTACAAGCTGATGACCGTAGTTGTGAAGATTTGGACGAGTGCGAAGAAGATGAACACGATTGCTCGCACGATTGTGTGAATACGATGGGGAGTTACAAATGCGCCTGTCCGGAGGGATTGAAACTACTGAGTGATGGATTGACCTGTGGGGATCCGTTCTGTCCGGAGGGTTTTCGAAGAAATGGGTCTGGTTGTCAGGATATCGACGAATGTTACGAGGAGGATCATGATTGCTCCCACAATTGTATTAATGTCTACGGATCTTATAAGTGCACGTGTCCGAAGGGATTCCATTTGAAGGGGGATCGTCTTAGTTGTGTTGCTTCAACTCAATGTTCTGATGATTCCTGCCTTAAGAAGTGCATTGCAGAGAATGATTCTTGTCAGTGTCCTTGGGGCTACGAATTGTACGATGGTCAAACTTGTAAGGACATCGACGAGTGTGAGGAGTACTCGAAGAATAATTGTAGTCAACACTGTCAGAACGAAGAGGGCTCCTATTCTTGTGTCTGCTCCCTAGGGTACCGTCTACACTATGACAATCATACTTGCGAGGATATCGATGAATGCAAAGAAGGTTTTCACGATTGTGGTCAAATTTGTCACAACCTTCCCGGAAGTTACAAATGCGAATGTCCGGAGGGTTTGAACTTTTCCGAGGATGCTAGAAATTGTGTTATTGACGAAATTTGTCCAGTGAATCACGGATGTTCGCACACTTGCGAAAGAGATGGGGCACAGACCAGATGTGGCTGTCCGGAAGGTTTTGAACTTGACGATGACGAAAAGACCTGTAAGGACGTTGACGAATGTCTGGAGGCTTCTCACGTTTGCTCGCACAAATGTGTCAACATAGAGGCTTCCTATTACTGCGAATGCCCCGTGGGTTTTGAATTAAACCAGGATAAGAAGACCTGCGAGGATGTCAACGAATGTTTACTGAAGTATCACTCCTGTTCTCATTTTTGCATCAACACTAATGGAAGTTTTCTCTGCGCTTGTCCTGCTGGCTATGAACTCAAGGAAGATTACGTAACTTGCGAAGATGTTAACGAATGTTTCACAGATCACGAATGTTCTCACTACTGTCAGAATTTCATCGGGGGGTACTCCTGCTCCTGTCCTGACGATATGATCATGAATTCGGATCAGAGGACCTGTAACGACTCCTTAGACTCTAACTCTACCACTGACGATATGATTCTCACTACCGATTTTTCAATGACAGAAAAAAATAATTTTCCTCCTGAAGATAATTTTACAGATACTTTCGTTTCTACAACAGAGATGGATTTCGTTACAGACACAAATTTCCTTCAGGAATGTTTGAACTGTAGTCAGGAGGATCCTTGTGAAAATTTCGGTTGTTCGCACGAATGCGTTCGAAGTAGGAAAAACAGAACAATTTTGCAAATCGAATGCAGATGTCCAGAGGGGTACAACTTGGATAATCAGGATGGCAAGACTTGTAGGGACATCAACGAGTGCTTTACAGGCAATGAGATAAACAGTATTTGCTCCTATCGTTGTGTAAATACAGAGGGGAGTTTTTATTGCGAATGCCCCAGGGGTTATCAGATTGCTCCAGATCGCATTAGTTGTGAGGACATAAACGAATGCAGTGACAATAACGCAGGGTGTTCTCATTTCTGCATCAATATCGATGGTGGTGTCGAGTGTGCTTGTCCACACAACTACAAGTTGCAGGAGGACGAAAAATCTTGTCTGAAATTTGACGAATGTTCGATTAGTAATGGTGGGTGCTCCCACTACTGCAATAGTCAGGAAGGAAACTTCTTTTGCTCCTGTCCTTTAGGAATGATTCTACAGGAAGATGATTCAAAATGTATTTTTGAAAATCCATGTCTGAATAATAATGGGAACTGTTCTGATATCTGTAATTTCGTGAATGGTACAGTTGTATGTGATTGTCCGTCAGGTTTTCAATTATCGGAAAACAAGTGCCTTGATATAGACGAGTGTGAAACTCAAGTTGATAATTGCATGCACCATTGTATCAACAACTATGGATCATTCGAATGTAGGTGTAATTCGGGCTTTGTTACCAATTCTGAAGACAATACACTTTGTGATGATGTTAATGAATGTATGACAAACAACGGAAATTGTACACAAGGTTGTGTTAACACTGTGGGGTCGTTTAAATGCTCCTGTAATGTTGGTTACACAATGAATGATAATACTTGTGTTTTATCCAACGCTTGTGGTATTGAGAATGGAAATTGTTCTCATCACTGTCATCAACATCAGGAGAGGACAATTTGCTCTTGTCCTCCGGGTTACAGATTGGGATCAGATTCAAAAACTTGTGAGGATATTGATGAGTGTGAGGAATTTGAGAACGATGTCGAGAAGGGTTGTTCTCATAAGTGCGTTAATCAGGAAGGCGGATATCATTGCGAGTGTCCTGTGGGTTTTATCCTTCTTCCAGAGGACAAACGAACTTGTATCGACTTTGACGAATGCTTGTCATCGAATCACAACTGTTCTCACAATTGTTTGAATCTTTTGGGAAGTTATCTCTGTACTTGTTATGATGGTCACTATCTCCATCAGGACAGATCGTCATGTTTGGATATTGACGAATGTTTGGAGAGGAATGGTGGTTGTTCTGATTTTTGCAACAATACGGTTGGTGGTTACGCCTGTAGTTGTCCGATGGGTTACGAATTGTCAATCGATGAAAAAACTTGCATAGACGTCGATGAGTGTTCTAACGGAATTGCCAGTTGCTCCTATGAGTGTCTCAATATTTTAGGATCTTGGAAATGTATTTGTCCAGAAGGTCATGATTTGGTTAATGATACCCAATGTGTGGAAATTGACGAATGTCAAATTGACAACGGTGGGTGTTCTCATGCGTGTTTCAACGCTGGAGGAATTGCCACCTGTAGTTGTCCACTTGGATTGAGTCTCGTCAATGATGGGAAAACGTGCGCCGATATTGATGAATGTTTAGAGGATAATGGAAATTGTTCGGATACATGTATCAATTTGGAGGGAACGTTCAGATGTGATTGTCCGGATGGTTATTATTTACTGGACGATATGAGAACTTGTCACGATGTCGATGAATGCAGTGAGGAAAATGGTGGATGTTTGGATATATGTCTGAACAGCAAAGGAAGTTTCTTCTGTCAGTGTCAGGAGGGTTTTTATTTAACAACCGACAAGAGGACTTGTATCGATCTAAACGAATGTGAAATTAACAATGGTGATTGTTCACATATTTGTGTTAATGACATTGGATCATTTCATTGTGAGTGTCCGGTGGGTTATCTGAAAATCAATGGCACTTGCCATGTTCTTAATCCCTGTACGGAAAGAAATGGAGGTTGTGAACAGAATTGCAAAAATCAAGATGGATTTGCTGTTTGCTCGTGTGTTGAGGGTTTCAAGACGATGGAAGCCGACACTGCAAGATGTATTGATATTGATGAGTGTTCTGGTACACATGGATGTCAACATTTCTGTGTCAATACTTTCGGCTCTTTTCACTGTGGCTGCAATAACGGGTATGCTGTCAGGAATTCTTCATGTATCGGTAAGACTACTTATATTATTATTAAATTAAAACTCAAGACTGATCGTTACCTGAAAATCTAATTATAAAATCTAATCGTTCAGTAACATCTAACATCCGAACCTTTTTTAATTATTATTAATAAAATAAAAACAAATAAGGATAAATAAAGATAATCATTCATATTTGTTGTCTAATAAAAGAAGCACTACTCCCAAATTCCAAATTTCAAACTGTTTATTGATGATGATAAACGGTTTTAATTATTTGAACATATAGTGATTAATCATCCAAATTTCATTGTTTTATGAAGTATATGTTACGTTTTCAACAATGCTCGCGCTAATTCAACTGTAGGTCAAAATATTTGTTTTCTGAAAAATTGTAATCAATATTGTAAATGAATTAACTGATTAATTAAATTAACTAGATTATAATTAAAAGTGGATATTAAAATTCTCCTAATGTATTAGATATTGATGAGTGTCTCGAAAAACCGTGTAACGGTAGTAAATGCATCAATACCTTGGGGAGCTACCGTTGCGAGTGCAATCCGGGTTATCGATTCGAGAATGGTGTTTGCGTAGGTTTGTGTAATGATTCTTTTGTGATAATATGAGTCAAACGTGAACAAAATCAAATTCAATTAAGTTTTCCGCAGATATTGACGAATGTGCCCTGGGACATTGTCGAGGAGGTCATTGCCTGAACACACAGGGTTCTTATAAATGCGACTGCGAATCTGGTTTCAGATCACATGAAACTGAATGTGTCGGTGAGTTGTGGATGAAATCATAAATTGATTAAAATTTTTAGTGTCAATTTGGTACAGATTGGTATCAATTTGATATCTTCAAGAAAATTGTCTTGTACTTAGTTTTAGCTTTTTGTTTCGGTGAACAAAAAAAAGCATTAAACTAATATTTAAAAAAAATTAACTTAAATTTCTTGCAGATATTAACGAATGTGAAACAAATAACGGTGGTTGCGCTCACGACTGTTTCAATACTATTGGATCATTTTTGTGCAACTGTCGATTAGGTTATACACCTGATCCAAGGTAAGTTATTCCTAATTTAATTGTTTCTTTTCTAATTATACATGTTTTTTTTTCTTTATTTTACTCTACTTTTTTCTAATATTTTTTTTAATATTCTAATTTTTTCTAATATTCTAATATTCTATTTGTTTCCAATTCTCTACTTTTTTGTTTCCTTTAATGTTCTTACTATTCTCAGGGATAAGAGTCAATGTCAAGAGGTAGACGAATGTCACAGTCGAAATGGTTGTACTTCAAGAAATTCGAAATGTCGAGCATTGAAAGTTCCACTTTATGGAGAGGTATCGTATTTTCAAAAGAGAATAGATAATTTAATGTCAGGAGCATGAAATGAAAAATTTAAATAATTATCCTTTGACAGTGGGTTTTTTTCGAAAAATAATGTAATAATAAATATTTTTTTTTGTTAAATAAAGATTCGATGCCCGGGACATTCGTCAGGTGCATTAGAGTATCCAGTGGGTGCACGATGTTACATTAGATGCCATAACGGATTCAGACTTGAGGGTGCTCACGCTCGAGATTGCGAGGCCGGAGGTCGTTGGAATGGGAAGGAGCCAACTTGCGTTCGAGAATACACTCCATTAGAACGTCCCTTCTACTCAGGTTCATGATTAGTGAAAATTTTCTTAAATTCCTTATTCGTTCGTTTTCTCTTCTTTTTTTTTCTCCGAATATAGTGTGTCAGAATTACACTGAAATCAGCTTCTATGCGTTCAATTAGTCAGATGGAGAAGCTTTAAAAAGCTTTTAATAATAGAAAGTCCGGTTGTTGAGTTTGCTAACGAGGTCATACTTTAACGCCATACTTTAACGAGCTTACGAGTCTCGTTTAGCTTTTTAGTTCTCGCTTCTTGAACAACAACCACCTTTTTTTTCTTGCACCATTGCTCTTGACTTGTTTTACAGCGCACTCATTGTTTCAGCTAATGAGTATACAAGACTCCTTTTTTTCCTGATGCCCCATTCAATGCTACAATAACTATTCAGATGGGGTCATTATTATTTTCTCTGCTCGTGGAAATTGCAAATTTCGAATTTGCAAAATTTCTAAGTTTTAAAACAAATTTAGAACTATGGAAAAGAAATTTTAAATTTTCGATATTTTAACTTTAGATCCACTTTTGAGGTTTTAATTTTTTAATAGTTAAAGTTTAAAGTTAAAGTTTATAAAGTTAAAATTTAAAAGTCCTAATTTCGTGAGCGCCGGAAAATAATTGATATATTTGTTGATTGAGAGGGGAAAAAAGTAATCGATCAACGTCTGTGAGAAAAATAGATGAAATTCATAATAGCGCTCTCGAGTTTTTGCAGTTTGATTATCGAATTTACACAGGGAAGATAAAGTGGAAGTGATGTATACAAGAGGTGGCAGAAAGGTGGCAACTCATTCGAATCTCATTTCAGACATGCCGCGACCATACATCAGGTGTCCGAGTAGCGTAGACGTGGAACTTCCGTCGAGGCAGAGAACCGTTCGAGTTTCCTTCCCGCAACCCAAGTCCAACGTGGATTGGTGGAGGTACTTTTACTTTGTACTCTTCTTCTTTTTCTTCTTTTTTTTCTTTGCCCTCTCGAGACACTTTTACTTCGAGAAAAAGAGAGAGAGAGAAAGAGAGACCTCTTGAGATCCGAGTTCACAATGACTCTTCTCTCTTAAACTTTTTTTTTCTTTTTGCATTGCACTTGAGAAGTGGATACAAGTGTATCGATCACCTTTCTACTAACACTTTACACATGCTATAAATTCCAAACGAGATTAAACCGGTTCAAATCGAGCAACTGTCAATCACTCTCGATTCAATCTCCATTTGATTGCTCGCCGACAAAGTTACACACCGGATCATTTTACATACGTTTACATATATACAATAATATCAATACAATTAGAAAATTATGCGAAATTGTTGGCGAATAAACAAAGTGAAACCAGGTCTCGGATATTATGACTCTTTTGACTTTTTTCGACTATTTCCAACAAATGCGACTCTTTTCGACTTATTTTAAAAAATTGTGACTTTTCGCCTTTTTCAAATGTTGCAACGAAATACCAAATTTTGAGTATAAAATGCAACTTACTTCAAATTTTTATAATGTCAAAAATAACTACCTATAGATAAATTTTTCAAAATTCCTTTTTTGACACGGTAAATCGTTAGGTGTCAAAATAACACCAAAATGGATTAAAATAACACTAAATTGGATTATTTTAATCCTTTTTGGTGTTATTTTAATACCTAACGATTTACCGTGGAATTATTTTTTTACGATAATAAAATTTTAAAAATAGGATAATTAAAAAATTTTAGAACAATTGAAACTTTGTAAAATATAATTGACAAACGTTTATTTTCTTTAATTATTTTATTACAATTTTTCAAAAGCAACTTTTGAAGAATTTTAATTGCAAATTTTTTAAATAATTAAATACTCAAAAATTTTAATAAAAAATCATGTGTAAAATTCAAAAATGAAAATTAATGAAAATTTTCTTCTGAAAATTGTATTGAAATATTTTAGAAAAAAGAAATTCTTAGATTGACTGAAACTATTTTTACTACTTGTATAAGAATTTTAAAAATTTTAAATCTGTCTGACATAAATTTACATGAACTACTTAAACCAAAAGCTTTGGTCTAGTTTTTATTATGTACGTAGAGGAAAAAGCTTCAGTTATTTAGAATTTTTCAAAAATATTTTGAGTCTTTTTGCTTACCAAATTTTTATTTTTACTACTTAAATAAGAATTTTAAAAATTTGCAAGCTTTGGGACCTTTTTAAAGAAGTTTTGAGAGCTTTGACTGACATAATTTACTTCTACTACTTAAATAATAATTTAAAAAATTCCAAAATGTTTTTGTCTGACTGAAATTTACTTAAACTACTTGAACCAAAACTGCAAACTTTGGGAACTTTTTAAAGAAGTTTTGAGAGCTTTGACTGATCAAATTTACTTCTACTACTTGAATAAGGATTTTAAAAATTTTAAAACGCTTTTGTCTGACTGAAATTTACTTAAACTACTTAAACCGAAAATTACAAATTTTAAGAACTTTTTAAAGAAGTTTTAAGTGTTTTGACTGACCAAATTTACTTTTACTACTTGTACAAGAAGTTCTCAAATTCTAAAACGTGTTGTCTGACATATATTGACTCGAACTACTTAAACCAAAACTTTCGCTTTTAGAACTTTTGAAAAATATTTTGAGCTTTTTGGCTGACATGCAGTAATAATACAGTAATAATAAAGTATAATTCAGAAATAATACTGTAAATTTTAAAATGAAAATTTCCTTTTAAAAATTATATTAAAATATTTTAGAATAAAAAAATTCTTAGAATTTTTCCATTCTAATTTTTTCAAATTTTAAATATTTCAATATTTTTAGTTACATATTTCAAGATATTCAAAAACGTACAAAAAATAATAACATTAAAATTTTTTAGAATTATTTTTAACATTTTGGAGAACACAATTATGTTTAAAATTTTTAATTAAAATTCTTGAAGAAAATTTATTAGTTTTCTATAACATACAAAAATTCTTTTATGAAATTCAATTATTTTCAAAAAATTACGGCTCAATATTTTTAAGAAACTAATTCTTAGAAATGTTTTATCATAATTTTTCAACAATCAATTATCTACGAACAAAGTAAATTAAAATTCTTAAAAATTTAATTTTTCAAACCTAAATTTTGGAAAAACATGTTCATATTATTTTCTAATTAATATTCTTTAAAAATTTTTTTATTTTTTTATTGTTTTTAAAAATTCATTTACTTTTAAAAGTATTTATCAAATTTCAATTATTTTTAATAGATTTTATCAAATTTCAATTGTTATAATTAGATTTTATTAAATTTCAATTAATCGGAAATTTTTCAATTGTACATTTAATTAAAACACTATTATTATCTTTCGAAAATTATTTTTAAATATTAAAAAAAACTAATTTTAAGAATTTTTTATTAAAATTTTTTGAAAATATTATACCTGAATATTTTTTTAAAATAATCTATTATTATAAAAAAATAGAAATTTCTGTTTTTAAATAATTGATTTAGAGATGAAATTTAGTTAAAAATTGTAGAAAATAATTGAATTTTGGAAGGACTACAATTGTAATTTTTTGAAAGTGTTCAGAAGAATTTTATTATTTATAAACGTAATTGAAATTTTGACGGGAATTTTTTTTAATTTTTGAACATAATTGAATTTCGGCGATGAATTTTATTACTTTTGAAAGTAATTGAATTATTGGGATAAATATTGTTATTTTTGAAAATAATTGAAATTTCGCTAAGAATTTTATTAAAATTTTTGAAAATAATTGAATTCTGGAGAAGAATTTTATTATTTATAAAGATAATTGTGATTTTGAAGATAATTTAAAAATTTTTTTTAACATAATTGAATTTCTGCGGAGAATGTTATTACTTTTGAAAATAATTGAATTTTTCTTTTTAAATAATTGATTTAGAAATTAAATTAAGTTGAAAATTGTAGAAAATAATTGAATTTTCGAAGGATTATAATTTTAATTTTTAGAAACTATTACAGAAGAATTTTATTATTTATAAACGTAATTGAATTATTGACGAGAATTTTTTTAAATTTTTGAACAGAATTGAATTTCTGCGAAGAATTTTATTACTTTTAAAAATAATTGAATTCTTGTAATGAATACTATTGTTTATGAAAATAATTGAATTTTGTCGAAGAATTTTGCTATACATTTATAAAGATAAATGATGACAATTTTTTTTTTTGAGTTTTTGAAAATAATTGAATTTATGCGAAAAATGTTATTAATTTTGAAAATAATTGAATTTCTGCGAAGAATATTATTAATTTTGAATATAATTGAATTCTTGACATGAATATTGTTATTTTTGAAAATAATTGAAATTTTGCTAAGAATTTTATGAAAATTTTTGAAAATAATTGAATTCCAGAGAAAAATTTTACAATTTATAAAATTCTAAGGTTTCTGTTTGTTTATTTGACAACAATTTCGTATAAATTTTGCTCCTCGTTTTCTAAAAAAGAAAATTTTTTATAAAAATTGTCACTTTAAAAAATCGAAGTAAGTTTGAAATTTGAATTCCTTGCAAAAGCCATGAGGGCTTTAAAATTCGATATCCGAGAGATGATTGGCAGCCGACTTCAAATGGAGAAAGTCCGAAAGCTAATCTGGGATTTCTGAGGCAGTAGTATTATATTCGAATGACATGTGCATGTGCGGAGGATTATTTTTAAAACTGCAACTGCTTGGTATAACAGTTTCGCTTTTTCAGTTTTATTTATTTTTTTTAATTTTTTTTTTTTTCGTTAATTTTGAGTAAACTCGATTCTGCATTTATACTGGATGAATGTGTGTAGTCTATTTAGTGAAATCTAACTTGGCGGTTTAATTTGGTTTAATTTAGTGTGTATATTTCTCATTTTGTGTGTACAATATGTAATGTGACGAGAATCCTAGGTTCGTGGAAGCATCGCCAGCCTGGGGAAAACAATTACAAGCGGATTTACCCGCTGGCATCACTATGGTCACTTTCACAGCATGGTCTCTCACATCCAATTATAGTAGTACCTGCAGGCTCATGATTCGCGTTCGAGGTAAGTGAAATTAACAAAGAATTAAGTAATTATAACTTTGACTATTTTTTAATGATTACACGAAAAATTTATTATATAGAAATCAATTGGCAAAAATTTTATGCACAATTTCTGTTGTCTTTTCAAAATTGATCGTTCTAGTACTTAATTAATTTAACTTTATATGATTAATTAATAGTTGTTTAATTAATAATTATTTAATCAATAATTAATTAATGATTGTTTAAGTAATAATTACTTAATAACTAACTAAAAATTATTTAATAAATAGTTAATTAATGATTGTTTAAGTAATAATTAAAATTATCTAAAAGAACTCGTATTTTTAGACAATGAAAATCCAAAAGTTCTAACGTGTCCAACTTCGTTTGAAGTGAGATTAGAAGCAGGAGAGGCAGGCCGAATTGTATTTTGGCAAGAGCCGACTTTTGAGGACAATGTCAAAATAGACAGAATTTACAAAACGAGGGTAAAATATATTTGAAATTTAATTTTACTTGTTTGTTGAAATAATTTTCGGATTATTTTCGAAATGACAATTTTGTGATGTATTTTGTTGAGATGAAAATAGCTTTAAAGTATTATTATATTAGTTTCTAAATTCTGGTTTATAAACTAAACTAATGACAAAAGTTCGAAATTTGTAATTATCCTCATTATTGTAACATGTAATTACCAGTCACTTAGGTTGTAAATAATTTGTTACCACACGGATAATGTAAAGTTTAATACAACATTTTTGATTATAGAGAGAAAATTTTAACTCAAAATTTATAAATTTTCATGAATAGTATATACAAGAATATTTATTTATTAAAATAAATAGAAATAATAGAAATAATAATTTCTTTTTAAATAACTTAATTTTTCAAGAACTCTCATAAAATTATTACTTAGAATTTATTTAATGAATAAGTTTACTTAAATATTTCAAAAAAATTAATTGAATTTTAAAAGAGTTGGGTTTACAATTTTCGTAAATAGATGAAGAAAAAGATTTCAATTTGAAATTTTATCAAATTTCAATGTTAAATGAATTTAAATAAAAATTTTTAAGAATTTAGATTTTTGAAGTTAGTTAAATTTTTTCCTTGTTAAATAAGTATTAAAAAAAAATGAATTTATCGAAAAATTTTAATTAAAAACACTAAAAATAATTGAATCATAGCAAGAATTCAATTATTTAAAAAATTATTAAAAATTTCACAGGAATTCAATTATTTGCAAGTTTTCTATAAATTTCTTCACGATAATTCAATTATTTTAATATAAATAATATAATTATCTTTATAAATAATAAAATTCTTCTACAAAATTCAATTATTTTCTAAAATTTTCCTCTATATATCTACTATTTTAATAAAATTTTCCAAATTAATTCAATTATTTAAAAGAAATTTTAATAAAATTTTACGTAAACGTTTAATTATTTTCATAAATAATAAAAATTTCCCAGCAATTCAATTATTTACAAATTTTTTATAAATTTCTTCGCAAGAATTCAATTATTTTTATAAATTAAAAATTTTTTTATATAATACAATTATTTTCAGAAATAATTGAATTATTTCTTAAAATTTTAATAAAGTTCTTTAAAAAATTTAATACTTACAAATATTTTAATAAAATCAATTGCAATAATCCAATTATTTTTATAAATATTAGCATTTTTTCCAGGAGTTCAATTATTTAAAAAAATTTAATATAATTCATTGCAAGAATTCAATTATTTTTACAAATAATAACATTTTCCACAGGAAATCCATTATTTAAACAAAATTAATAAAATTCTTCACTGAAATTCAATTACTAAAATTAATTAAAATTAATGTTAAAATTTTTAAAAACATTTCAGTAAAAATTTTAATTATTTTTATAAATAATAAAATTCTTTTTCGAAATTCAATTATTCTCAAAAATTTTCCTCAAAACAAAGATTTTAATTATTTTAATTATTTTTATTATAATTATTTTTTATTATTTTTATGAATAATAAAACTCATCGCAGAATTTCAATTATTTTTAGAAAAATTGTAATTGAATTCCTCGAATAATCTACTTATTCAATCTTAAAAATTGTATTAAAATTTCTTCAAAAGAATTCAATCATTTAAAAATTTGTTGATAATATTCTTTATGAGAATTGAATTTTGAGAAACATTCACTAATAAAAAAAATTGATTTAAAAATAAAGTTCAGTTAAAATTTTAAATAATTGAATATTAAAAGCATTGTAACGTGCATTTTTAGAAATAATTGGATTTTGAAAATGTTTCAAATTGAAATTTTTGAAAATTTGAATTTTTCCGACCTTTAACCAAAAATTTTGTATAAAATCAATTTCTTTTTTTTTAATTATTTGAAGTTTTTATTTTTTATTGATATATTTAATCGAAGAATTTAACAAATAATCGAAATTTCACGTAAAATTGAATTGTAGACATATGGATTTGAAAATTTTCAAATAAATTTTTCAAAAATAAAATTATAAAAAATAGTTGATTTAGGGAAGAATTTTAGTTATAAAAATTGTAGAAAATAATAATTGAATTAAAATTATGAAAAAAAATTTTGCAAAAGTTACAGTAATAATATTTTTATAATATAAAATAATGATTCGGTCATCTTTAATTATTAAATACATGGAGGGGAAATTATTTAAAATTTTGCAAAAATATTTCACAATTTTTTTTTGAAAAAATGCGACAAAGAGAAATTTGATATAAAAAATACTAAACTTAAAAAAAAATGTGGAAATTCGTATAATTATATTAAATATAAGAATTTTAGTTAAATTTTAATATAACTTTACTAAATTTTTTTTTTCACTGTTTAGTATTTTTTATGTCAAAATTTTGGTTTGTTGCACTTTTTTCCCAAATTGTAAAATTTACAAAATTTTACAATTAAAAATTTAAAAAATTACAAAATTTAATATATATTTTCTCTTCATGATATTGTGTCTGGGAAAAAGTCGAAATTTTCTCTGAAAATGAGGGAAAAGTCAGGAAAAAGGAAAATATAATTTTCTGGCATCCTTGATACGAATATTTTATTATGAGACCATTTGAAAACAATTTTCTCCTCATTAGAAGTGAACTTTTGTTATTACATATATAATTGTATATATAAATTATAAACCTCTCTGGGTCTCTAATTAGTTTTAATGAAAACGAAAATGCAGTCGTTTACTGCAATTATAAATTGAACGGAACTGACCGAAAGTTAATTTCTATATTCAGTATGTATACTCATTTCCCCCTGCAGGAACCTGGACAGCAGTTGTACCCCGGTATTCACAACGTGCGCTACATTGCTTCCGATGCTGCCGGAAATCGAGCTGAATGCCATTTCTCTGTACATGTTCGAGGTAGTAAATTTATGCGACACTATTCAAGCGCTCACGCGGGGCAATGTCACAAGTTTCAATACCGCTTTTATAACCAATTTTCCTCTTCAACTGATATGTGGAACGAACGCAAGCACTGATTTTGACTGATTGAGATTCGTAATTTTCATCGTTTTGACATTGAGCAAGTGTTATTCAATATCGAATCATTGAAATTTCACTCGCACTAATAAATTACAATCAATTAACGGATTTTCGCACGGAAAATGACAAATTTCTGTTTTTGTTTGTTTCTTTTTTTGCTTTATTATTTTTTTATTTTTTTATTTTTTAGTTTATTTATTTATTTATTTTTTTTTACAAAATCTGTTCCCGCAGTCCTATTGGACCATAAATGGGTAACTACAATATTAAACAAAAAATTAACGTCATTATAATTATTTTTAATATTTTATAATTAGAATTATTTTCAGTTTATTCGAATTTATGTAAATTTTACTTTATTTCTTTATGAAGAATAAGAATTCAGAATTGTTTTTAACAAAAATTCTTTATTTATATTTTTCTATTAGTGAGAAAATAAAGTTAAGTAATTAAAGTTGTATCTAAACACGTTTCTACGTATTTAGTTTGATTAAAATTTACTTGAACTACTTAAAACAATAATTACAAGCTTTTAGAAGTGTTTAAAAATATTTCAATCGTCTTGGCTGACTGAAACTACTTTTACTACTTGTAGGAGAATTTTAATAATTCTAAAACGTCTTTGTCTGACTAAAATTTACTTGAACTACTTAAAGAAAAAATTACTGGTCTTTCAGAACTGGTGGAAAATATTTTGAACCTTCTGGCTGACCTAATCTATTTTTACTACTTGTACAAGATTTGAAAAAAAAATTCTAGAACTTTTTGCCTGACTAAAATCTACTCAAACTGCTTAAAGTAAAAATTACAAGCTTTGAGAACTAATTAAGGGAGTTTTTTTAGCGATTTGACTGACTGAAACTACTGATACTACTTACACAACAATTTTGGAAATTTTAAAACCGTCTGACATAAATAGACATGAACTACTTTAAAAAAAAAAAAAAATTAATTACAAATTGTAATTAAAATTAAAACTACTTTTTAAAAATCAAAAGCTTTGGCCTAGTTTTTATTATGTACTTCAACGAAAAACTTCAGTCACTTAGAACTGTTTAAAAATATTTTGAGTCTTTTGGCTGAACCAAATTAATTTTTACTACTTAAATAAGGACTTTAAAAATTCTAAAACGTTTTCGTCTGACTTAAATTTACTTAAACTACTTGAACTAAAAACTTCAAACTTTGGGAACTTTTTTAAGAAGTTTTGAGAGCTTCGTCTGACCAAATTTTCTTCAACTACTTGAATAAGGATTTAAAAAAATTCCAAAACGTTTTTGTTTGCCTTAAATTTACTAAAACTACTTAAATCGAAAATTACAAATTTAAAAAACTTTTTAAAGAAGTTTTAAGTGTTTTGACTGACCAAATTTACTTTTACTACTTGTACAAGACCAAAACTGTTTATACTGCTTATAGAAAAATTTTGTTTAATATTTAAACATTTTGTCTGACCTAAATTTACTTGAACTACTAATTAAAATAACAATTTCAAGCTTTCAGACTATTTAAACTGTTTAAAAATATTTAGATCGTTTTGTCTGACTGAAACTGCTTTTACTACTTGAATAAGAATTTTTAGAATTCTAAAACGTTTTTGACTGACTTTAATTTACTTGAACTGCTGTAACTAAAAACTAAAAAATTTGGAAACTTTTCAATAAAGTTTTAATAGCTTCGACTGATTAAATTTACTTCTACTACTTGAAAGAAAATTTAAAAAATTCTAAAACGTTTTTGTCTGACTTAAATTTACTTAAACTACTTGAACCGAAAACTACAAATTTTGAGAACATTTTAAAGAAGTTTTAAATGTTTTGACTGATTAAATATACTTTGACTACTTGTAAAAAAAGTTTTAAAATTCTAAAACGTTTTTGTCTGACATAAATTGACTCGAACTACTTAAACCAAAACTTTCGCTTTTATAGAACTTTTGAAAAATATTTTGAGCTTTTTGGTGTGATTTTAAATTATTTATAATCAACTTTTAAGTTTGAATAAATTTTTTTAATTTAAACGTATATAAAATTTTTTAACATAATTTTTGTTTACATCTAAACAGAAAATATCTTTGAATTAAACATAATTCAAACAAATATTATTTTTGAATCAAAGCAGAAGATATTTTTTATATATATCGGGATTAAGCTTACAAACTAATTTTAATTAAACAAAATTGCTTAAAATTATTTTTCTATTTGAATTAAGTATAATGTTTTCTGAGTATTATAGTAATAATACAATTTAATTATTGTATTTATTATTTATTATTAATATTATTATATTTAATTATTGTAGTAATATTACAAACTTTTTGAAAAATTATCTGTAGGTACAATTTGTCTAATTTTGTATTTATTTTCTGTTCGAACAGAAGCTGAACATCATGAAAATTCAGAGGTAAGCCGGATATCATTACCAACCAATATATATATATATATATTTAGAAACCTCCTTTTTGTCCATTCAAAAGTAAAAAGCACAGCTTTTACTCTAGATGTCATTTTTGTTCTCATCCTTATAAAGATTTCTTTCTATTTTATGCTGGGTCACGTGGTCATTCTTTTTCTTTTTCTTTCATTTTTTTTTTTCAAAGAGAAAAGTAAAATAAAACGGATTCCTGGTTGAGAAAATGTTACTAGAGAAGTGGACTGTAGAAAAGGAAGGTGAGGGTGGGAGGGGAAAGGGGCGCGAGATGTATACGAAAGGTCGAAGGAAAGCCTGATTGTTTCAAGAAAAGTAGATTAAAGCAAGAGAAAAGCTTTTGCAGGAGGCATCAATGGAAAGTTTTTTGTGTATTTTTATCTCGAAAGATTCTTAATTTCTTCCTTCTTTTTTTTTTTTTTTTGCTCCTCCCTACTTTAATTTTACTGTCTACGTAACCCATTACAATAAAATTTTAATTGTTTTTTGCCCTTTCTTTTAATTTTTTTTCTTTTTTAATTTTTCTTCTCATTTTCATTATATATATATATGTACGATTTTTTTGTTTTAATTTAAAAAGGGAATGGGTGGAAAATTTTAATCCTTTGCTTGCTAAAGACGATTTGTAGAAAATAAATTTTTTGCTCGTTTTCACAGAACAAAATTTATAAGAAAATGCTGATTTGTCCAGATCGACCGCCTCAAATAGTGCCTGAAAATTCGTTTAGAGTGAGTTCAATATTAATTGTAAAAAATAAAAAATTTTATATGTCTGATAGATTTTTAATTAATTGAATATATACAAACGTTTGGTAATTAAAAAAAATTATTAATCTGTTGTAATATTTTTTTTTTTTTGAAAAAAGAATTTACAAATTTTTAAATTCAAGACTTTGATTAGGATTTTTTTTTAATTATTTTTTTTCTTTTAAATATTTTTATTTATTATAATGGTAATTAAAAAAAATTATTAATCTGTTGTAATATTTTTTTGGGGAAAAAAGAATTTGCAAATTTTTAAATTCAAGATTTTGATTATGATTTTTTTTTCTTTTAAATATTTTTATTTATAATAATGGTAATTAAAAAAAAAAATTATTAATCTGTTGTAATATTTTTTTAGGGAAAAAAGAATTTGCAAATTTTTATAATGAATAAATTAATATTATGAATAAAAATATTTTAAAGAAAAAAAAATATTTTAATTCATTATAATAATACCTGTATGGTGTGTAAAAACGTAAAAAGTAAAAACTAAAAATATATGAAAAGTGGTGGAAAATGAAAATGGAGAACTTTAATCTTTTTGCAGATTCCTCGCGGGTGTTACACGAGATACACTCGTATGTTTTCTGGAACGTATGCAGTTCAAAATTATCGTACTCATTCTCGTCGACAGGATGAATATAACACTAGAGCCGCTGCCTATCATCAAGTGCATCCAATTTTACGAACGCGACAACAGGATCAAACACGAGTATATCCCCTCGTCGACTGTAAGTGTATGTGTTGTTGTTTGTGTTTCTTTTTTTCAAACTAATTTTAGAAATAATTACTTTTCATCATCCTTCTTCTCTAATTTTCTTTAAATTAAAATTACTTTTTTTTTTATTTTTTTTTTCACGTGATGTTAAAATATATCAGAGAGCAGGAGCAGTTATTTTGTAAACTAAAATAAAAAGGACAAAAATCATATTAAACAAGTTCGTAACTTCGTTTATAATGCGCGGGAAAAAAAGGAGTAAAGAAAATATTTTCCAAGCAAATAAAGAAAGAGGAGATTTTTCTTTCTCTTTTATTTTTTACAAACAAATTTTTTTTATTAGTAATATTATATTATGTATAAACAGAGGGAAAATGATAATGAAATAGAAAAAAAATTTGTTCATTATATTCAATGCAGGTAAAATTTTTGTAGCTGAAAATGAATAAATTTATTTTTAGAGTAATGAAGAATATCTTGTAGAGAAGAAGGAAAATAATTACGCACATATTTTATTTTATTTATAACTGAATACAATTCTTTTGTTAAATTTTTTTGGTGCATATTAATTTTTTTTAAATATAGCTTAGTTTAACATATTTAATGTAGAATAATTTTTAAAGCATGAATATTGACATTTTTCACAAAAGAATTAATATTTTGATCTAAAATTGACCTAGTCTTGTTTTTTCGCTACAGAATTGACCTAAACTTGTTTTTTCGCTTTAGAATTGACCCAAAATTGCATGTATTTTAAACTTTATAAAATTGACTTAATTTTGACCAACAATTTACTCATAAAGATAAAATTTCGACCTAAGATTGACCTAATATTTTTTTCACTACAGAATTGACCCAAAATCCAATGTATTTTGAACTTTAACATCAAATTGACCTGATTTTGACCAACAATTTCAATAAAAAAATTTAATTTCGCCCTAAAATTGACCTAGTCTTTTTTTAGCGTTTTTTCAACCCAAGATTACATATATTTTAAACTTGAATATATAATTGACCTAATTTTGAAAAACAATTTCTACACAACAAGAAAATATTGACCTAAAATTGACCTAGTTTTGTTTTTTTCGATATTGAATTGACCAAAAATTGCAAATATTTTCAACTTAAATATAAAATTAACCTAATTTTGACCAACAGTTTCCACAGAAAAATTAAATTTCGATCTAAAATTGATCTAATATTGTTTTTCGCTACATCATTGACCTAAAATTGCAGGTATTTTATACGTTAATATAAAATTGACCTAATTTTGAACATCAATTTCCACAAACAAGAAAATTTCGACCTAAAATGTACCTAATCTCCAGTATTGATCCAAAATTTAATGTATTTTAATCTTTTTTATAAAATTGACCTAATTTTGACCAACAATTTCAAAAATCAAAATTTAATTTTGAGCTAAAATTGACCTTGTCTTGTTTTTTCGCTACAGAATTGACCCAAAACTGCATTTATTTTAAACTTCAATATAAAATTAAACTAATTTTGAACGATTTTCAAAAAACAAATTAAATTTTGTCCTAAAATTTACCTAAACTTGTTTTTTTGTTACAGACATGACCCAAAATTGCATGTAGGTATTTCGAACTTCATGAAATTGACCTAATTTTGACCAACAATTTACACACACAATTTTCTACCTAAAATTGACCTAATGTTTTTTTCGCTAAAATTTGACCCACAATTGCAATTATTTTATACTTCAATATGAAATTGACCTAATTTTGACCAACAATCTCCATACAAAAATAAAATTTCGACCTAAAATTGTTTTTTTTATTAATTTTATTGAACTATTATTAAATAATTACTATTATGATGATAATATTTATTTATATTATTTATATAATATTATAATTAAATAATATTGAATAATTTAATTAATAATACGACCTAAACATGTTATTCACTACAGAATTTACCAAAAATTGCATTTATTTTAAACTTGAATATAAAATTAAACTTATTTTGAACAACAATTTTTACAAAATAATAAAATTTGGACCTATAATTAACCTTATCTTTTTTTTTCGCTAAAGTATTGACCAAAAATTGCATGTATTTTCAACTTTACAAAATTGACCTAATTTTGATCACCAATTTCCACACAAAAAACAAAATTTCGATCTGAAATTGACATAATTTTGTTTTCCGTTACAGAATTGACCGAAAATTGCATGGATTTCAATATTTATAAAATTGACCTAATTTTGACCAACAATATCCACTCAAAAATAAAATTTCGACATAAAATTGACCTTGTCTTGTTTTTTCAAATACAGAATTGACACAAAATTGCATGTATTTTAAACTTTCTAAAATTGACCTAATTTTGACCATCAATTTGCACAAAAAAATAAAATTTCGACCTAAAATTGACGTAATTTTGTTTTTTTGCTACAGAATTGACAGAAAATTACATGAATTACAAAATTTAGAAAATTTATCTTCTTTGGCCAACAACTTCTACACAGAAATAAAATTTCGACCTAAAATTGACCTAATTTTGTTTTTTTGCTACAGAAGTAACAGAAAATTACATGAATTTCAAAATTAAAAAATGTCTTATATTGATTAACAATTTTCAAACAAAAATAAAATTTCGACCTAAAATTGACCTAATATTTTTGTTCGCTACAGTTTTGACCTAAAATTTCATGCATTTTAGCATAAAATTGATTTACTTTTATGGCCAACTGCAGCAAGATTATGTAACAATTAATTCTGCAATTTGTCACAATTAAGCATGACATTTTATTGTAATATTGACCTAATTTTACCCACAATATTATGACCTTATATTGACCTAAAAATAATGCAGTGATTAAAATAAAAATAAAAATTCTTTTTTATAGTATTTTTGAAAGTGTCTTTTGCATAAATCACTTTTTTGAAAAAAACAATGAATGCAATTTTTCATATTCCACTGCTCTTCTTCTCTTTTTTTGTGGGATTTTTGTTCTCCTTCTTGTAGAAAAAAAGAGTGGAAAGCGCGTTTTGTAAATAACTTTTAAAAATTTCATGCATACATACATTTAATTAAAATCAAAAATAAATATATATTTTTGAATAAAAATTATAAACTCAATTTGTTTGATGTTCTTTGTTGTTTATTTTGATAACGAAAAGAATGCATCACAGAAGTGAATTCAATTTTTGAAATTAATGAAAATACATCGTAAATAAAAGTAAATAAAACAAATGTCAGAGGAAATATGTGAAATAATTATTTATTATTTGAAAAGCGTAGGTTTCCGATTTCGTATATATAATTTAAAAGTCGTATTTAATTTCATCAGAAACAAAAGAATTGCGTTTTTATAATGGTTATAGCGGCAAATATGTTAATTAATAGTGACAAGCTTTCTTCTTTTTTTTGTTATTGAATTGAGAATATTGTGTTATTATTTTTTTTTGGGAGAAAAATTTTATTGTATTTGAAATAAAATTGTTAATTTATTTTGATCATGAGGCTGAAAGTCGTGTTGAGTCCTAATCGAACTCAAACAATAAAGAAATCGTCGGGATGTTAAACATCGAAGTGCCAGCAAAATTTGTCTTAACCTTACAATCATTACCACCTTTTGTATTGGAAAGTCTTTTTGCTTTGATTTTGGTACTACTTCTGTCAGTGCCAGTAATCATTCGAATTTATCAATTTTTCGTACGTATTTAATATATTATTTATTTATTATATTATATTTATTAAAGTTTTTCTAAAATACATTTTATTGAACTTTTTTTTTATTAACAAGGAAATGATACGCGCGCGAAACGCTGTATTCCATTTATTATTTTGTAAACTTAAAAATGTTATTTTTTCAAGAATTTTAATATAAATTCAATTAATAAATAAATACATTAATTAATTAATTCAATCAATAAAATAATCTTGATGAAATTTTTTTACAAGAATCATTATTCTCAAAATTTTTTTTATAAAATTCTTTAAAAAAAATCAATTATTTTCAAAAATTCAGATAAAATTCTTCGAAACAATTTAATTATTTTTCTAAATTATAAATTAAAAAACTCATCGAAACAATTCAATTTTTTTTTATAAATAAGAAAATTCTTCGCAAGAATGAAAATATTTTTATAAATTATAGAATCCTTCAAAGGAATTTAATTATTTTCATAAAGAATGAAATGTTTTGGAGTAATTTAATTATATTTTCAATACAATTTTAATTACATTTTCTCAAAAGAATACCATTATTTTTAATAATATTATGTAAATTCAATTATTTTCAAGTGTTTTAATAAAAATTCAATTATTTTCAACAATTCTGATAAAAAACTCTTTGAAACAATTCAATTATTTCTATAAATAGTAAAATTCTTGTCAAGAATTTAATTATTTTTGTAAATAATGAAATTCTTTTGAAAAATTCAATAATTTTCAATAAAAATTTTAATTTTATTAATAATTTTAATTTTAATAAAATTTCTAGGAAAAAATTCAATTCTATTCATGATAATTTTAATAAAATTTCTCTACCAGATCCAATTATTTTTAAAATTTGTGATAGAATTTTTCTCAGCAATTCAATTGTTCTCAAAAGTTTTGAATAAAATTCTTTGTAAATTTCAATTATTTTTCAAAATTTTCAAATAAAATTATTTTTAAAAATTACAATATTTTTACGAAATTTAATGAAATTTTTTTTAAAAAATGTAATTATTTACAAAAACTATGATAAAATTGTTTAAAAGAAATTAATTTTCTATGAATAATTTTAATATAATTTAGTAGGAAACTTTTAATTGCAATTAATAATAAACACGATTATTTTAAAAACTTGAATGAAATTTTTCATAAAATCCAATTATTTTCAAAATTGTCATTAAAAATTATTTTAAAAAAGTTTATTATTGTAAAGAATTTTAATAAAAATCTTGCCAAGAATTAAATTATTTTCATTACAATTTTAATTACTTTTTCTCAAAAGAATACAATTATTTTTAATAATATTATTTAAATTCAATTAT